CACACACACACACACACACACACACACACACACACACACACACACACGCGCGCACACACAACGTTCTCCTATTGCGAGGGGAGAAAACCATTTATGTGTGACTCTGCATGACAGGTTGCATGCTAAAACCTTGGTAATATCTCTGTGGCAGAAAAACAGGCCTTTGTCACCTGAAGGGTAGCCTCATTTTTCATTCAAAGGGACTTATTCACAGACACTGATTGGCCTAACACCCCCTGTGATAGCAGTTCTGGTGTGTGTGTAGGGAAGGAGAAGGTGGAGGGGGAGGGGAGGTGGACAGCAGCGATGTGGAGTGATGGAGAGACTGACAGACGCTTGAGTGATTAATGAGCCTTTTTGGTGGTGCGCTATTGTGAGGAAAGGCTGTGTGGACAATCTGAAGGGGGAAGAAAGAAAATAGAGGATGAGCACATTACAAAAAAAACAAACATGAAAAGACTTCTTCAGGGAAAAAAAAAAGCTAGGAACAAGTGCAGATTGGCAGCCAATTTTGTCCAAATATAGATAGACAAAAAAAAAAAAGGTTGCAGGGAAGATTGGGACTGAATGACAGATGGGTTGGACGAGTCATCCACCATGAAAAGAGAGGGTTGGGTTTAGAAAGGCTTCTGACAGGGATTGAAAACAAGATGTGACAGCTTGGCTTTTTCTGTTGGTATGTGCGTCTTTTTTGTCTGTTCATCTGTATGCAACCATCTCAGCTGTAAATGTCCCGTCGCGTTTACAGTAGGTGCGGGACGGGAGGACATCGCCGCGTTGTTTCGCCTAACAGACTGCATGTTATGCCACATGGCCGGTCAGCAAGTGCTGATGACGAAGGCAGTGTTGACTTCTGAGATATGCGTTTAATCTTGGCGAGCTGCTGATGATGAGTTGGAGAAGCGGTGCATTGTTCTGAGTAGGTTCAGACTGTCAAGACAGGACTTGAGCTAACAGGCTGAAACACGAGATCCTTCAAACTCCACTAACTTTTTTTCTTCTTCTTTTTTTTTTTTTTACTGTGAATTTTTATTTTTGTTTTTTTTTTAATTATTCCTGGCGTGTAGCTCAAGAATTCTGACTTCCAAAGGCAACCTGAATGCACCACCGAGGAAAACGTTTACCGATAAATCCACACACTGAAATGAGAAAATAAAATAAAAAAACTTCTGTTTTTGCTGTTTTCTTTTGCTCTACTCGCTGCTGTGACCCTTAAAACAAATATTATTTTGCTTCTGCTTAGTTCCCTTCTGGTTAAATTGGACCTCAGGATGAGGGATTGCTGCAGAGTCAATGACTCAGCTGGACTTGCTCAGATAACTTTGTAGCTATTGGCCTTTTATCAAGTAAATTTTTGTTGTATTATAATAACTAGATTTAATTGTATCTCATTGTAGTAGAAATCACTGGACAAATGTTATTTTTCTGCTAAACTGGGCATTAGTTGGACAAGTTTATAAGGTGCCTTGAGATCATATTTGTTCTGAACTGATGCTATGTAAACAAACTGAATTTAATCTGTATTTCTATTTGTTAAGTTATTGTCATATTGAGTGGATTTAGAGGAGGACCTAAGTGCAGACTGGAGACTCAAAATGGACATAAAGAATTTATTAGCAAAATGGAGAACTTATAAAAATCGAGCCAGGCAGATGGCAGCAGGGCAAAAACAACGGAGGATTCAAGAAACAGGATGGCAGATGAGCGAAATGAAAGGAGCCAGTAGAGAACAACGTTCACTGCGGAGGGAGTGGAAATGATAAAGGAAGAGGAGCAAGAGACAGGTAATTGGCTGCAGCTGGGGAACGGAGCACGGATGGGCAGGTGAGGCAAAATGTATCAGCTGGGATCGGGACCAGGAAGGGTGAGAGTAAGGAGAAAACAGGTAGTAAAAGGCAAGAGACATGAGAAAGGAGGAGGGGGGGATTTCAACCTAATAAAATGGTAAACAGAAACATTAATGTAAATAAATAAATCCAAAATACTAACCGAACTGACACAAGGGAAAAACCGAGATGGTAAGAACTAAGAAAACAAACAAAATAATAATAACAAACATTGATGAAAGTAAAAGTATACCAACCATCTATGGGTTACGAAAGCTACTGGCTCTTATTATTATTATTATTATTATTATTATTATAAATGCTTTCCATGTTGACAATTCAGCTTATGAATTGAAAGCAAGAAATCCGGTTTGAAAACCCCCGGCTGATACTCGGTAGTTATATTGTATCGGGTCAGTGTTTTTGTCCTTAGCCGTATCTTTGGTTCGGAGTCAAACGGGTTCAGCACCGCTGCGGCTGACACCGGCTGTAATGTTCACCTTCTGCACCGCCATCTGTTGAAACCTCCGTCCTCCTTCCTCCCCGCCCTGCGGCCTCCGGCGGCCCGTTCCGTCTCCTGAGGTGCCGTCTTCATTATTTACACTCAGAGGCCGACTTAACTAATTTCGTCTCCGCCGGCTGCCGCTTGTGAGACGCACATTAAGTGATAGTCACATACAAACAAAACAAATTTGATATATACACACAGGCAGACATGGTAATTACTTGAGGCTTGTTTGTCTCCACCTCTTGTTTGCTCGCTGCTATCTTTACGCTCCGAGAGACAACTTGCACAAACCTGAGAGGTTGTGAAGAAATTTGTGCCAGGAAGCGTTTCACAACTCTTGACAGCAGAGATAGTCCCTTCATAGTGTATATTTTATGCTAGGCATCTTCATTGAAGAATCAAAGCGAAAGGTAAGGCGGTGTATTTGTTAGAGTACACCGCCAACAAAGTCCCTTGTTGGCGTTTTTTAACATACATTGTTTTCCCAAATAATCCTATGTAGACGTAGCAGACACAGCTTCTGGCAGCCCAAGTCTCAAATGAATGTTGCTCTATTTTATGTGATAACATCAATGCAACTTTGATACTTCTGCTCACTTGAGCTTTAGCTCGGTACGTTGCAGCCTGGGAAACAGCCAGTTAAATTCTGCTGCTGAAATGCATCATTATTTGTCTGTGCTGTGCTGTGCTTTAGCGCTAACTTTCTTCTTTTTTTTTTTTTTTTTTGCTTTTGTTTGGTTTATTTATTAAGTACATTTTACAGTGCCTTTAAAGCTTTGACATGTTACAAAAACATACTTCAGTATTTTTGTTATTCGGATTTTGTGTGACCAAAACGTAGTCGTGCATATCTGTGAAGAGGACGGAAAAGGATACATAGCTTTCAAAAGTTTAAACGGGTAAAGCAAAAACTGGTTTCTGTTTAGCAACTCTTCACTCTGCTAGCCCTAAAGGTCTAGTGGAAATACTTCCACTCAGAAGTCACCTCAGTAAAACATGGTGGTGGCAGTGTGATGCTGTGGATATGCTTCTTTTTTTTTTTTTTCTACTCCAGCTCAGCAGGAACGTTGGACACAGTTAGGAAGATGGATCAAATTAAATACTGGGGAATCCTGATTTAAAAACCTTCCTGGAGGCAGAGAAAAGACTGGAGAGTGGTTTCCAATATAGCAGGATGACCCCAAACAGATGGCCAAATATTAAGCGGAACTATCGAGGCACATTAAAATATTAAAGTGGACTAGTCCAAAATCTATGACCGCAATCTTTGCCAATGCTTGAAAATTGATGTACGCCGACACTCTCCTTTCAATCTGAAAGTCTTGTCTGTCTTGTTTTGATCATTTTTAATGATCAAAACTGGCAGACACACAAAACCATACCTGCAGCTACAACATGAGCAAAAGATTAGTCGGTAAAGATTTACGTGTCACAAGCGACAGTTTTTAATTGTTAGTAATTTGGTCTTTCAAGTGAAACCCCAATAAAATACATTATTTTTGTAACATCAGAATGTGAAAAGGGTTCATTGTGGATTAATACTTTTTACACGGTGCTGAATGTTTCGCACTTCTACCAGGTTGTGTCGTTGGTAGTATCGTCTCAGAAAGAGAAGTACTAAACTTTGCTTGGCAGGCTTTCCTATGTAAAGGTTTCAACTTGTCTTTTTTGCATATGTTGTTTTTTTTCTTTTTTTTTTTTTTTTTTACAAGATATTCCACCTTCTTATGTAAGTGTAAAAATCATCCCTAATAAATGTGCTGGTGATTGTTGACGCGATACGTGTGCTGGACTTTGCAGGCTTTTTGCCTAGTTTTTCCCCAGTGTAGCCCCCCTTTAATGGACTGATGACTTGTGACGAACAATCAGCTCCTGTTAAGAAAATGAATAATGTCTATTTGAATGTTTGGGACTTAACATCAGCATCCTTAAAGCCTTGTCATCTAGGAAATTCGGGTTGTTTTCTCTCTGTCTTCGACATGGCATGTTGCTATTGGTTTCATCACCTTGGATACAAAGTAATTTCGAACACTGCTGAGTGAACCAATTTATTTCCAGCAACACTTTAACGTGTAGTAGGAAACGGATTCGACACAAATCCTTAATTGTAATTTCGACTGTTCTGTCTTGTCCGTGTCGTGAAACGGCCAACCGCAGTTCATCATGACCTGTTGCAGTTCTCTGCTTAAAACTCATTCGTGGGGAAAGAGAGAGAAAAAAAAAAATCTAAAGTTTGTGGATTCACATTCTCTTTTCTTGTTTCCGTCTTTGCCTTCAGGTGCAGCAAGATGCTGGGTGTGCAGCCTGTGTACGGACTAAAGCTCTTGCTGGCCCTGATGATGCTTCATACAGCCGATTCAGGTGAGTAATTATTGCCAAGGGTAGACTTTGTAGGAAATGGCTTGCATGCTTTTAGATTTTCGTTTTGTAGCTTGGCAACAACTGAGCTGTTGAGGTCTGAACGCATCGACTGCATCTCAAAGTTAACTTTCTCTGTGCTCAAGGTAAAGAGCTGAACAGTTCAACAAGACAATGCTGATCTCTCTCGATTTTCTGTTCGACTTATAGGCTGGTAGAGAGGAATGAAAGGTGTTCTTTCATGTCATTATTAAAGAAAAAAAAATCCACAATGCTTTAACATTTCCCATGGTAACCAAAGGACTAAATGGTTTAACCTCCTCCTTAAGTTACCCTCCTGCAAGGCATCCTCATCAACTTGTAAGAGATTGGGGGTTTTAGTTGTGCTTCGCAGAGCTCAGCCAGCTGCTGCTGTGTGTAAATAATGAGTGCTAGGAAATCAGCCAACTGCCCAAAGTCTTAATGACCATTAAACCAGGAAAAAAAAAAAAAAAAAAAAAAAAGCTTTCAATAAAACCTCCACATGTTGAAATTTTAACATTTTAAAATCACACATAAGGTAGAGTTTGGGGAAACTCTACGTTTAGATCTAATTCCACCCAAGAACGAGGTTTAATAAGAAGAGCTGGCACATGGTGGATTTGCTTAGGCAATTCATGAGCTTGATTTTTATTTTATTTTATTTTATTTTTTTGTCAAATCCTGTGAAAGTGACATCATTAAAAATGGATCACAGCTTGCTTTAAACTTTGCTGTTGTTTTCCTTTCGAACTTAATTATTCATCGTGCAAATCTGATGAAGAAAATTGCTTTTCAACTCCTTAATTTTTTTCCTCGATCAAATTGCCAAATTGCTTGTTTGTTTATTAGCATAATTAAAGGTCACTCTGGTAAAAACAAAACAGCCAAGCATAAAAAAAAATAAATAAATAAAATAAAACTCTGGAGCATTCAAGGGTGATTTACCATAAAGGTAATAATAAAGCTTGAAATGCAAATCAAACCCAACCAGGCAGAGTTTTTTAGATCCCTCAGTCACACTGACATGTCGATTTTTCTGCTTTGTCCCCTGCTCCTGTCTGAACACTTGGCAGACGTCCACTTGAGCATATTGCCCATCTCTCCAAGTTTGGCTTGTAATTACCTCAGCAGCTCTAAGGAGAGACTAAAAGCATGAGATGTGAAGATGCAGAAGCATTCTGGTCCACAGAGCTTACACTTATCTTTTAAGCCACGTCTAAGAAATTGAAATGTATTTTAGGCCTGATTAAACCTCAGAGATATTATATCCAATTCCAGTGAGGAAAGCTGATTAAACTTTGTTTTGATTCGTATATAAAAAAAAATAAATGAATAAAAGAAGCTGAAATTTAGGATGTTAATCATGTAATTATACATCATCAAGTCATCCAAAGTTTGGCGAGAGTCTTGACATTTTGCGTGTGTTTGCCTGTCTGTCTGAGTGACCTTTCGAAACCGCTGACGGTGACGAGCGAAGGACAGTGTGGCAGAGGAACAAGGGGCCGGGGCATTCGCAGAGAATTTGTGTGAAACTGTGAGTCGTTTGTCAATCTGCGCCCAGGATCTGGTTGCCCCAGCTGCCTCCCGATCTGTCCGTTTGGCAGTTTTATCTGTCTATTCCAGGGGGCTCTGCGGGGAAATGGAGGGTGGGGAAAGTATTCACGTCCGTCAGTCATTCTCCGGCCTCTCTGCACCCCGCCTGCGCGCCGCTGATGGATATCTGTGCGTATCTATATGTGTCTCTGCGAATGTAGGGCAGACTTCACGCCCCCGCGCTGCTCCCCGGTGTCCTCGCCGACCGTCTGCTTCGCTCCTCGTCGTAGTTTTCTTTTTTTTTTTGTTTGTTTGTTTTCTGCTCGGCGTTGACTCGGGCCTCAAGTTTGCAGGAGCGGAGACGGTGAAAAATCCAATCAGCTTTCCTGTGTGTCGATATGAATATGCATAAAAACCCTCCAAGAAACTCTAGCTGTGTTACAATATCCTGATTTACCTTGTATTACCTTTGTGGATTTTGCACTTTTATTTTTCCAGCTAAGCAAAAAATCACAGGGAGGTAAGAGGACCTCTGGGAGGGCTGGCATTAAAGCTCACCCCGTGACACCTCGCTTGACGGTGCAGAATTGGAAAAAGGGTGGGATGTGAACGCAGAGAGCAGATTAAGGAGGGGGTGAGGGTGGTAAGCTTTTTGCACGTGTGTGCGTCTGTGTATATGCGGCGGTAATACTGTGCTTGCACTTTTAGCGCCACTACTCCATTGCCTGTGTATCGTGCTTATAAATTTTAAAATGTTGGGAGCTTGTCACACGAGATAAATGTACTATGACGCCACAGAAGGTTCAAAATTAGTCACGGCAGAAGCTTAAGGGGAGTTTCTGTAAATCCCAGCGCAGCCTGGTCTGAAACGGCTCAGCTGGGAAGAGAGCTGCTGAGAGAGGGTTAATATCTGTCAGAGAGAGAGAGAGAGAGAGGTAGAGGAGACGGGAGGATGCTTGTGGGGTCAGAGAGGATTTGAGGGGATCTGATTGGACAGCAGCACTTGAGGAATATACCTTGGTGATATTCAGAGATCTGCTCCTATGTGGCTGCGAAGGTTTGTCAGATCAGAAAGAGGATCCAAAACATTGCTATCACAAATGTTAACCTTTTTTATATGGGATTTTATATGACAGGTCATATTGAAATAACATACAGTGGGGAAAATAAGTATTTAG